TGGGTGGCTCCGGTTTGTTCTTGCTTCCAGCGTGTTTTAGGCTCCAGCTGGGTTTCATCTTCTCCGGCTTGTTGCCCAAAGTTGTTCAAAACCGGCAAACAGACTAAATTAGGTGTCATGGTTAGAAAAACCCCTTTCTTACAGTGGCTGGGTTTGGTTGGGTAGCTGATCCTGTGCGTTAACCTATAGAAGCCCTCACCCTTTTCACCACACTGACCTTTTCATTGGTAAATCCCTAAGTAACTTTGATATAGGAAGATGATTCTCACGATGTCTAGATCAAGAAGCATTTGTACTTAATTCTAGCAGGAAAGAAACCTTTTTCTTGAAAGTAGAACCACGTGGCCTCGAACTGTGTTCAGTAACCGCTGCTCTATCAAATTATTTTTCCTTATTTCCATCCCCATGCATTTGTGCCTGCTATAAGATAACGGCTGCCCCCTCCGGCAAAATCAGGGACCTATAGGGCAAGTCAGTTCAGCTATAGGTAATTTCAAGGTAGTTCACGTTCTGGTGACTTCATTGGTTTTGTTCTTTCAAGTGTTATACGCCAGCCTTACACAGAATCTATTTATGCTAAACAAGATACAAACAGGTCTAGTGCTGTCTTCCAGGGGCCAAGCTTATGCAGTCACATTTTCCTTCTGTTATGACCGAACCAGGAGTTTTCCTTCCGGCTGAAACAGAAAACAGTAGGCTGAAGGAAAATTAAACAGAACGAGAGGAATGAATCACTCCCCTGTTTAGAACAGGATGAGGATTTAAAGACAAAAAAACCAAACCAAACCAAAACAAAAAACCCAAAAAAACCCAAAACCCAAATAAACCACCAACCAACACAGACTGTAAAAAGCCCAAAGCCCAGAAGGACATTTTGGTAGTAACCTTGCCGGTGCAGCTGCTAACATAACTGTTTTCTAACAAAAGTGCATTTTACGAACCAATGTGTGACAGTTAACCCGTCCAGGCTTGTGCACTGAGAGCAAGGTTTGGGGAGCGCCTACCTTTGGCCGTGCTGGTTTGAGGTGGGTTTGGTGATTCTGCTTTGCTTCAACTTCTGCATAAAATCAGAAAGCCGTTCCCAAAGTCTGGTGGGGCATTGGAGTGGCTGCAACTGGAGAAATCCAGCAGAACCTGAGCAAAATACCTCCTTGGTGCTGCAGGGCTCAGTTTGGCAAGGGAAAGCCAATTCAGCTGCACTCTCGTGGCCCCTCCTCTGGGCCAGGGAAAATAATTCCCCATGGTGCCTCCGCAGTCGCTTGTTCCTGAGCAGAAGGCCAGCTCCAAGGAGAAGCTCTTCGTTCAAAGCAATGTAGTCCCACCATTTTCTGAACAACTTGATCTGCTTTTTATGGGAAAAGCCACTTTGTGACAATGGAAATGCTCTTAGCTTCTCAGGCTGTACGCTGAAGCAGCTTTTCTTGTGTTCTCTTTTCTTCTCGTCTTTGAGTTTCTTGGGTTATTTTTAGTTTAAAGTTACTGTCACATTTACAGTAGAGATGTGCGCCGCAGGTTGAAGAAGCTGCCTCCCAGAAAATCAGCCCAAGAACCACCGTTCGACTCGTCCACTGTTTCGTTTTACACCCTCCTATTTGATTTATTGGTATAAACATACCAAATGCCTACCTATGCCCGTCTGTCTCTTGTTTTCTTGGAGAACCTCTCCCTGCTCTGGCAGCACTGGTGGTGAGGACCAGGACCAGGACGCCCGATGGGGGTGACCCGTGAGCCTGTCGGTGGCCGAAGCCTCACCCGTTGCACATGTGAGCAGGAACCCACGCCAGCTCTTCTCAAAGCGGTGGCGCTTTTACGTGTTTTCATGGGCTTGTGTTTCCCCTGTTGATGGTAGATGATTTACAGGAGCACAGAGAAGAGGCTGCTTTCTGGCAGGCGATTTAAATGCTGCGTGACCTTGCTTTTTGAAGGGTCATTTAACCTTTGAATTGCATTTACCCTTATGGCTTTCAAGTCAGCTATCTGATATGAGAGTGGTAGAGCCCCAAAAGCCCTGTTTTGGCTTCCCACCTCCCCCCACTTAACTTTTGTTACTTTGGGCTACTCTCGTCTCCTATTCCTCCACAAAACCATCTCCTATCACTCCCACGAAAAAAATACAAGCAGTAGAAAGTTTAACAAGACCTCTACCAGATTTTTCCTACAAGTTACCTGCTCAGAGGTGCCCCTGCCATGACTGCAGTCCTTGGCTTCCCTACGTTTGAGCTGTAAATATACTGCTTACAGCTGGAACAGCGTCAGCAAAAACACTTCTGGCCAAGTGTCGGTAATATGGAAAGCCATTGGGAACAGCATATGACTGACAGTACAAGGACTTCCAGCTCCTAAGATCTTTAATGAAGTGACTGCTAAAAAAGAAATACTGCAAACCTCTCAAAATGCTTATGTGATTTCCCAGTGTTAAAACAGATGGTGCTTTGAAGGGTACCTTTGGACATAGCATTATGAATTTCCTCTTACAACCAATGTTACAAGGAGCTCCAACTCTGCAAAACCGCATCAATCCTGTGAAACTTGTTTGCTGAGTGCCCTTCCACCTCACCAGCACCCTGTGTCCCCAGGCGTGGGAACAGGGACCTGTTTGTCACCACTGCGTATTGGCAGAGCACATCAGTAAGTAAATGCCATAGCAAAGCCATTCCCACTCCTGAGAAGCCAGAGCAGCGTGGACGTGCTGCGTCCATCCTGCTGGTGGCTTCTCAGGCGGCGTGTCCCAGGAAGCCTAATTTAACTA